ATATATATATATATAAAATAGGATATAAATAATACTAAAATAACACTGATTGCTATGGTTTGTACACAAAAATGAGGGATAAAATAGATTGTGATGCTTTTCAAATTATATTTTACAAGCACCAAGCAAACTAAAACTATTAAAAATAATTTTCATTCATTTAAATAAAGCTGAAATAAAGCATAAATATTATAAAATAACCTTTAAAAAAATAAATAAAACAGAAAGGATGCTTTTGCAACTAACTGCAATAAAATAAGTTGAAGTGCTAAAATTACTAAAACTAATAATTATAGTAATAATAATAATAATAAATAAAGGTAAAAAGAAATATTAAAACACTAATAAAAATGGCAAAAGCACATAAAATTACTAAAACTTCAACTAAAATCAAAATGAAGTGAATAATAATAATAATAATACTAAAATAACACTGATTTGTATGGTTTATGCACAAAATAAGTGATAAAATAGACTGTGATGCTTTTACAGGCATCAAGCAACTAAAACTTAAAATATTTTTGTTAATTTAAATCTAAAAAAAGACAATAATTAGATTAAGAAAATTAGATTAATATTAGATGTAAAAAATATAAATGTTGTCTTTGCAACTAACTGACAAAATAATTTTAAGTACTAAAATAACTAAAACTGTCATTTAAAAAAGCTAAATATTAAATAATAAAAATGACAAAAGCACAAAATTAGTAAAACTAACTAAAATTAAAATGAAAACTGGAAGTATAAAAAAGCTAATTCAAAATATTAATAAATACTATAATAGTATATAAATACACAAAAAGTTTGTGCACAAAAATGAGGGATAAAATAGACTGTGATGCTTTCCAGATGATCTTTAAGAAGCATCTCTGAGACAAGCGTGTGCTAACTGGGTCAGTCACTGAAAACAGTGAAACTATCCATAATCTTAAAGCAGTGAAGTATAAACGGTGACGTTAAACCGTTAGCGACTGTGAGGTCAGACGTGAGCGCGGCTGTCAGCTCCTCTTCTCCTCATCAGAGTCCTGAACCGACAGCGTGTTCCTCCGCATCGCGCTAATGACTTCACCCAACAGTTTAGCGGCAGCCAGGTAAGTGGGACAGGTCCGCACGGTCGGCTCCGTCCCAATTCAATCAAAGCGTGCTTCACTGTTTTTCTCCGGCGCTCAGAGTCAGAGAGCGTCTTGAGGTGGTCGACTGACTCACGTCCGCCCGGTTCTCTCAGGAACGGCCTCGTGTCGCTTTAATGAGGTCTGCGGTCTATTCTTAGACCCCCCACACCAGCTAATGAAACACCTTTTATAGACGCTAACTTCACACTGCGGGCGAATTAAAACACTTCTGAATGAGGCTGGAGTCTCCAGGGACGCATTCGAGAACAACAGCCGCACCGAACGGCCTAAGCGATACAGTTATTGAGGTGTAATGGAAATCACGCTGGGTGAATGTTTTTAAAGGTCACCGCCATCGCTTTATTGCGTCTAAAAGGACGCAGACTGCATATAGACTGCAAAAATTGTACCTTTGTGATAATCACGGGAGGCATAATACTACAGAAATCCTTCACAAAGGAAAGATCAGTATAATTCTGATCATATCAAATGCACTTAAGAAGAGATTTGCAGGGTATTTAATGTGAGGTTTGGTTGATGGTCCTCTAGCACTGACTATATGAGCTTAAGAAATGGAGAAGACAAAGCTGTGTCCTAAAGCATACTAAGTTCCCTACCTAGACAACATCTTATGGCACCATCTGAGTTATTATCATTAACTAGAACTAAAACCAAAACTATTATAGACATTTTTTGTTAAATGTAATAAAGTTAAAATAAAATAAAATATAAATATTAGATGAAAACAAACTAAACGAAATTAGAAATGTTGCCCTGGCAGCTAACTGAAATAAGATTAAGTTGAAACACTAAAATTGTGAGTTGGAAATAAATAACATTTAAAACTGAAACTAAACTAAACCTAAATAGTCAAAAAAAAAAAAAAAAATATATATATAAAATAAATTAAACCTAAATAGTAATTTAAAATAATAATAATAATAAAAGTATCAAAATCACATAAAATTACCATTACCAAAAAAAAATGAAAATATAAAAAAAAGCTCATTCAAAATATGAATAAAAACTATAATAGTATAATTATGACTATAGTAGAAGCTTAAGAAATGGAGAATATAAAACTACTGAGCTAAAAGCTAAAACCTACTGAGCTCCTACCTGGAGAACATCTAGACAACAATTAAAACTAAACCTATTAAAAATATTTTTGTTAATTGAAATTAAGCTGAAATAAAATAAAATATAATATAAATAAGTCAATGACAAACATAAACTGATAACATCAAAACTGAAATAAAAAATTAAACCTAAATAATAAAGCAAAAAAAGGATACAAATAAATTAAACAAAATTACAAATAATTTAACTAAAATGAAAACATAAAAAAGCTCATTCAAAATATTGCTTCAAACTATATTAGTATATAAATAATAATGATTATAGAAGCTTAAAGGAGACATATTATGCCCCTTTCTGTGAAGTTTCAGCTCAAAATACACAGATAATTTATTATATTATTTAGAAAATGCCTATTTTGAGTGGAAGCAGAAACATGCTGTTTTTCGTGCCGGTCTCTTTAAATGCAAATGAGCTGCTGCTCCCC